TGGAAACGGCTTACTGTACTGCATGGCATTCGCAGCGGATGCTCTAATATGAACATTTCAGAGTGTTTATGTGTCAATCTAAGGACAGGATTCGAAAAGAGTTCGATGAGTCTAATGGTGATTACGAATATACGGCTACTCGAAAAACTCACTCTGGTCGTTCTGATATAAAAGAACTCCAGAAATTGAGGGTCTTAGATTCAATACGGAGGCCCACATCAAGTGTCTTGAGGAGGTAGTGCTGCCCTCATTTGAGAGGGTGGCTGCTGGAAGACTTTATGTTTGGCAACAGGAATCGATGCCACACCAGTCACGGCTGTCAGAAATTTTTGCAACCACATCACCCCTTACATCTCCCACCTAACTTCTTGTACTGCAATCCTTTGTTTATTATGTGTGGGGCGCAATTGAGCCAGAGATCAACAAAACTCCTTGAACTGAAGGCAATGATTATCATTTACCAACTTAAACCAGAAGACCATAGAGAAGATATGCATGAGATTCCAAAGCCGTCTGGAGGCTGAGATCAATGTCAGTCGTGATTTTAGTATATTTTGCATTTCCTTCTTAGTATTTCAAGATATTTCTGTGTAATCTCCGTAAATATATCTCTTAAAATAAGACGTCAGTGTTATTTTCAATTTTACATAATTTATACGATAAATTATCCATCCCACCCTGTATATATATACAGAGAAAGATAAGAATATAAGATAGACATACATGCATACACAAAAAAAAACATACATAAATACGTACATATATATGTGAAGATAATGTGACAAAATAGAAAATGATTTTGCAGACAACGTGGATTTCGTTTGTACCGTTCTTCGTGTTGGAATGGCAGAGAGATCGTATAAGGAAAGTGGGTTGATAAATATCCTTAACAAATACTACAGCTAAAATGTATATGAGGGTGTTTGTTTGTTTGTGTGTATGTGTGTCTGGGTGTTTTGTATGGAAGCCATTACTGTCTTTCATTCCTACCTGAAGACGCCTACTAGTCGTAAGCCAAACGCGTTATCTGTAACATCATTTTACACTGTCTCATTATCCATTCTTTTGTTTGGATACTCTCCTACAATCTAATGACACCCATATATATATATATATATATATATATATATATATATATATATATATATATAAAAATAAAATGGGAACGAATGAAATATAAATTCAAACGTTCACAATATTAATATAGTGCTCAATGCAATAGTAGAGCAATATTCTTTTTATAGGATATTACATTCGAACATATGTGTTGAATGTAATATCCTATAATAAAATATATATATATATACATATATATATATATATATATATATATATATATATATATATATATATATATATATATATGAGAGAGAGAGAGAGAAAGAAAGAAAGAAAGAAAGAAAAAGAAAGAAAGAAAGAAAGAAAGGAAGGAAGGAAGGAAGGAAGGAAGGAATGAAGGAAGGAAGGGCTATATTTTTAATTTATTAATCCGACAGCTTTTTATTACTTAAACTTTATTTTTTGGGGATATTCGAAATTTGAATAGACGTTCCATTTTTTTTATTAAACAGTATATTTATTTATTTTCATCTACCGGCCAGATTCTAATCTTACCGGAGAATGCATATATTTCTCTCATAAAATTTCATGAATATTCAGTCTAGTGGATAAAATATACTGTTTAATAAATAAATTCAGTGTCTACTCAAATACCAGTAACCACTAATAATAACGTTTAATTAATATATATATATATATATATATATATATATAGCCCTATTCCACCTACCAGTGATGCTTGCACTAATTTCTATACACTGATTTTTTCGGCTTTTCAATACACGATATACAGATTGATTGTCGTAACCTGATCAAATTTAAGATTAAAATTACAAAATCTGCTTTTCGAAGTACCAGTCTTTCTATGAAGGTTTTCAATTATTTATTGCCAGTGAATGAGATACGTCTTCTTGCATCAAGAACAATCTTAACCAAAAGTGGTATATTACGAATTCTTCTGTGAGAGAAGACAATATTTTTCCCTCTCCAAAGGTCACTAAAGAATATTGCAGAGTTTGTCTGGAAAAAATCTATATTAATTGACGAGTTATGGGAATGGAATTAAAATTTGCTCTATCTTTTTATGCACGAAATATATTATGGGAAATTTAGCATCTGCTTACTATATATATATATATATATATATATATATATATATATATATATATACTAGCAGCATGGCCAAGCGTTGCCCATGCTTGATTCAAAAATCGTACCACTCATACAACAATCGCTATCACTTGACTTAAAATATTTTTGCCCTTCCTTGCCTTTAAAGGAGTGCCCTTTACCGTGCTGATGTTGCTACATGCCTTACTTCTTGCCTAGCTCACACTGCGAATTTTTTCTAAGCTCTATACTAAACATTAAATCTGTTAAGAAAAAAACAACTAAACAAAATTAACACAAAACGATCAGCTTTTAAAAAGGACTCGTAACTGGAAAAACCGAATGAAAAAAGAATGTTAACAACAAATACTTTTTCACACCCAACCCAGTTCTGCGGAATCAGAATAAACGTTGAATTTAAGCAAGTGAATGAGCCAATTGGAGTAAAGTGACATGCAGATTTAAATTTTTCCCACTTGTGACGAATGCAGCTTTAGTTTTTTTTTGCATGCTAGTTAACATTCGTGTCAGTCAGCTGTTGGCTCTCACGCTGGCCAATAGAATCTTCCTGCCTATTCGTGGCAGCCAGCTATAGGCTCTCACTCTGGCCAGTACAAACTGGCCGCAAACTACATGAAAACTGTCGTAGATGCATGAAAAATAGATTATTTCCACTATTCGAGGGGAGTTGGGAAATGCAAAGTCAGTCTTGACCTTTCTGCTAACTTGGAGCATGGGCATGTAAATTTTGGTGCAAATCCGTTGAAAATTGCGGCCGTGCATTTGTTACACACACACACACACACACACACACACACACACACACACATCCTGCCTTTTATAGACAGAGATATATAGTATTTAGTATTTGCTGTGTCACTATATATGTAAGCATGAGAGATAAGGGAGTTTCTGATGTATTTATTTATTTAATTTTTATATTTGTATCAGATCATTCTATAAGTCATATTAGTACGATGTAAACCAATTCTACCTGATACATTGAGGTTTAAACTGGATCCCTTCCCAGGATTTTCTCGTGAGGAAGTTGGCCAGACAACCAGAAGGATACAAAAATAAAATCTTTCAATGGACGGATGAATATTCTTGTGACTACACTGGCCAGTTAGCACTTCAAATATCTGGGAAGTGTTTTGACAGAGGACGGTAAGTGCGACACTGATATCCGTAGACGTATTGGGATGGCCAAGGACACATTCCAAAAGCTGGGAAGAGTATTGCGAGGCAGGGGGAAGAAAAGAGTATTGAATTGTTACGTGACATCTGTCCTCTTTTACGGCAGCGAATGTTGGACGGTCTCCTCAAAGATGAAGAAAAACCTGAGGTGACAGAAATGTTCCACAGAAGGATGCTGAGGATATCATAGACTGAGCGTGTGAAATAGATGAGGTCTTGGAGAGGATGCAAACAAGCAGGATGCTTATACTTATCATCAAGAAGAGGCAACTAATAAGAGAGGAGGGCCTGGAGAATCTGATACTCACAAGTCGAATTGAGGGAAAGAGACAAGGGAAAGCAACGCCTGACATACCTGGCGGCATTAAGCAAGTAGATGACAACAGGGTCTGGTGGATGTGGCAAAGAGACGAAAATTATTGAGAGCTACAAAGGATAGGAGGAGGTGGAGAGCCATGATCACCTACGTCCTGAAAGGACGCGGCACATGAAAAGAAAGGAAGTTGGTAGCCGAAGCTCACATAGCGTGCTGATGACCAAGTATCGCTGGGAGGAGAGCTTCTTAGACTGAAGTAAAAAAAAAAAGGTTCGTTATATTTAATATTCGTATTTATTTATAAGTACGATGGTGTGAGCATGACTAGAAGATGGAATTGAGCTATAAGTATATATTTTTAGATATCTTTTTTCTTTCTTTCTATGTACCATGTCCTTTTAGGACGTAGGCGATCATGGCGCCCCCCCCTTCTTGAAGCTCTCAGTAAGTTCTTTCCCTCTGCTTCCCCTGCCAAGTTACGGTGGAGTTATGGATAGCGGTTCGGATTAAGGAATCGGAGAGCCGAGTTCGAATTCCAGTCGCATCCATTACATTCACTTATGTGCTAATATCCTTGGAAAAAGTATGTATCCTTTTCTTCTCTCCCCAGTTATTGGTAAATAGCAGGACAGACCGGGTTCTATAGCCTTGATGGAAACTAGTCTACAGCAGAAATGGGAGCCTACTGCAGGAAAAAAAAACTGCCTCGTCAGTCAAGTATCGAAAGATACATGATCTCCTAATTGTGTTTCACGCATGTCACATAACTGACTGTTCTAGAGATTTCATAAACGTTTATTTATTTGTAATTGAATTCATCATTTTCTAAATTTGTATTGTTTTGTAATTGATGTTGATAAAGTTCTGTTGTCATTAGTATAATTGATTAATTGCAGTCAGAATGTAAATACAGCCAAATGAACCAGTTGATTAATAAGCAAATATCTACTCTTTTTTTCTCGTGAAATGAGAATGACTATGGACAGGGATATAGAAAGATGCATACATATTCCTTTCAGGTTTATTCCATTAATTCGCTTTAAAAAGAAACCAAATCTTCCTGTCATTGATCTCTGAACAATACATCCTGCAGCCTCGTTACCAATGATCTACCTATGCAGATATCACTAATGGGGCTTCAAAAAAGGTAATAAGAATGAAGAAGCGGGTTGTTTACAGAACTGTCTGATCAGGTTTCTAAAAGAGTAGAATCAAAAGATTCTCAGAAAAGGTTTCATTTGCAGTAATTAGACGGGGACGGCCTGTCGGCAAAGAAGATCTGAAATGAGATGAAGGTGGGAAATGTTGGTGGCACTTGTTAGGGAGAAAAGAGAGAGGAAAACATTGGATTTTTAAAAGCATAAGATAGAGAGAAATTGAAAAATGTGAACGGGCAAAGATAGATAGATAGATAGATATATATGAACATATTGTGAACGAAAAAGAAAGAAAGAAAAAGATAGAAACTTGAGACAGAAAGATGGATAGAGAGATTTGAACATATTGTCATAGAAATAAAGAAAAACTTGAGAAAGAAAGAGAAAAATAGAGACTCGCGATAGCTAGCTAGATAGATTGATAGAAAGAAAGAAAGCGGTAGAAAGTGAAGATAGAGAAATAGATATGAACATGTGATAAATATGAATATAGATAGATAGATAGATAGATAGATAGATAGATAGATAGATAGATAGATATGAACACGCGAAAAATAGGAACATAGATAGATAGATAGATAGATAGATAGATAGATAGATAGATTTGAACATATTTTCATAGAAAGAAAGAAAGACTTGAGAAAGAAAGACAGAAAAATAGAGACTGAGGAAAGATAGATAGAAATATATAGCGACTGAAGATAGATAGATAGATAGATAGATAGATAGATAGATAGATAGATAGATAGATAGATATCAACATGTGACAACTATGAACAAGATAGATTTGAACATATCGTCATAGAAAGAAAGAAAGAAAGAAAGAAAGAAAGAAAGAAAGAAAGAAAGAGACTGGAGATAGATAGATAGATAGATAGATAGATAGATAGATAGATAGAAAGAAAGATATAGCAACTGAAGATAGATAGGAACATGCGATAAATATGAACATAGACAGATAGATTTGAACATATCGTCATAGAAAGAAAGAAAAAAAAGAAAGACAGACAGACAGATAGATAGATAGATAGATAGATAGATAGATAGATAGATAGATATCAACATGTGACAACTATGAACATAGATTTGAACATATCGTCATAGAAATAAATAAATAAATAAATAAATAAAGATAGATAGATAGAGACTGGAGATAGATAGATAGATAGATAGATAGATAGATAGATAGATAGATAGATAGATAGATAGATAGATTTGAACATATTTTCATAGAAAGAAAGAAAGATTTGAGAAAGAAAGACGGAAAAATAGAGACTTGCGATAGATAACTAGCTAGATAGATAGAAAGAAAGATATAGCGACCGAAGATAGATAGATATGAACATGTGATAAATATGAACATAGATATGTTCAAATCTATCTATCTATCCATAGATAGATTTGAACATATCGTCACAGAAAGAAAGAAAGAAAAAAAGAAAGAAAGAGAGAGAGAGACTGGAGATAGATAGATAGATAGATAGATAGATATGGATAAAATGGGAACCCTGCTGTTGTTAACCATCATAAATGAAATGATAGTAAAACAGATTAGTATTTTGGTAATTTGATTGATTCAGGTCTATAATGCTCAAAGCATACAGACTCGCCTGCACGCACACAAATAAAAGAAAATATTATACAACAGACTATTCGCTGTAAATGTGTGAGCAACTTCGTATATTAGCGTTGATTTTCAACCTGAGCTAGAACATAAGACGTTGCAAAAAAATACGCCAAGTTTCTGCTTGCTAGATTAAAAAACGTACAGTAAATCGCAATGATTCTTACTGCAAAAGATATATGAACACACATTGAAGGCGTCAGTGTCTACCTTTATAAGTAAGCATGAATAGTTCCCTACGCCGAAAGTGCAATTTTCTTAAGTAATATGTTTTTAGCTTCTTTCTTTCAACTCTGCTGATCAAAGCACAAATCGCCTCTTCGTTTAGTTTCATCAGATTTTTAAAAAAAAAATTACTTAAATTTAGCTCGTAGGAGGTAACATTTAAAATAAAATTGAAGCCACATTTCCGTTCTTTTATTATTTTTTATGGCCATCTTATTTCTATTAAGTTCATTCTATATTCACTGATTTTCAATAATAAGCTTTCTCGCGATAAAACGTTTGAACAATATAAAATATACAAAGAACCTCTAAAGAAAGATGTGTAATGGTAACTCTATGATCTACCAGGATGCTTACATGTTGGCTAGTTTGGTGAAGAAATGTTCATGGAGGCATTTGTTCCACCTTTGGATTGACAATGAGTCTCAAGTCCACCATTGCAAATGCTATATAGCAATAAAGTGTCACTGCCTACACTTGTCTGAACATAAATCGTCAGTGAGCAAACCCAGGCGATCCCATTATTGAATTATGTAGACCACGTGACTATAGAGGAAACGAATATATGTAGGAAGTAGCTGACGACTAACGATCTCTATTTCTATTCTATCCTCTATTACTATATGAACCGCTATTCTCTACTCTATTCACTATATTATTTCTCTATACAGATCACTATTCAGTGGTTACTATTCGAGCGAGTATTATCGAAGAAGTACTATTAGTGCGAGTGCTATTCGAAGGCGTCTTACACCAGTATTGTTCAAAGGCGTCACTATAGTTGTAACTGCGATTACAAAGTCTCTACTACAAGGAGCATTAGGAAAGTGACAACGAGTATTCGTTAGCATTACAAAAGTGGTAACGAGTGTTCGTTGACATCACAAAAGCAACGATGTTGATTCTTTCAGAATGAGGTGTGTGGCGATTTAGACGATGAGAATTTTATTTCCGCCAAATCCCTTCAGGAAATAGGTGATGATGGTTCTCCACGATTTCCTATCTCGTTTGGCCCTTAGCCGTATTTCTCCCTTTACTAAGACTCCCCAACCGCTCTCCGTTCCACTATCCATTCTCACAAGATCGTTACGTAAGTGCCACGCTTCCTCCAGCTATCGTCATTGGCCTCACTATGCCCCGTGAGGGTTGTTTTCCAAGCCCTCTTTCCTCATTATGTATGCAAAGTATATCGGCCGTCTTTTCCTGATTCTGAGTGCAAGTGTTATTATTTTTAAAGACTTCGTCGTTACTTACTCGCTTTGTCCATGGAATTTTCATCTCATCAAAAGTAGCAAAGAGTAAAAAATAGAGGAATTTTAATCCATTAACAAATTTTAAGTATTAAAATCGCCATGACATTAAAATAACATCAAGGAACACAAGTATATAAAAGGAGGAACTGAAAAGTTCTCTGACAGATCCAGTTCCTAAAATCTGATCAGAAGTGCAAAGATCAGGATATTTTAAGTGTTATTGTTCTGGCTAATAATTTTCCTTACTCTCCTCATATACGCACTTATTTATTTTTGTACAGTAAGGTTCAGTTTGTACAAGACCCGGGGGCCACTCGTGGTAGAGTGTTACGTTGAGGGGTAGTTTATGCAGATATAAGGGAAGATAACTCTAGACTTGAGCAGGTTAAGATTTTAGTGATAGGGGAAACATCTTCGTGGGAGTCTGTTCTATAGGTCAGTGGTTCGTGAGAAGAAGCTGTTCGAGTGGAACTTATTTCTTACCGATGGAATACAGAGGGAATATGAGAGACTTGCTACAACGTAAGTGGCATGACGAGTCGTAACCGTGTAGGTTACACCAGTCGGAACCAAGGAATATAGTTCGTACGAGTACTTACCATGGTAGCAGCGATACACCACTGAGAGGGGTGACACATCCCACTTGTGTGAGAGAGGTTTGAGGGCGGTAAATAATTTGTCATCTACAAGGACTCGGATAAGCTTTTGAACTCTATCGAGACTAGAAAGTGAGGACTGGGCAGCTCCCGCCTAGGTATGGAAAGAGTACTCTATTTTAGGTTTGAACTGGCTATTGTAAACGTAAATATACCATGAAGATTCAGGTAATTACTGGATTATTTTACCTGCATCTTTAGCAATTGATCGTACTTACGAGTTCCACATGAAGTCAAGTGTGAGTTTGAGGTACAATATTAACTAAAAAGCGTGGTGCTTCTTCGAGGGGACACACGTTTATCGTGACTGGCGGTAGTTTGTGGTTCGAACGGCGGTGATGACATGTAATCAGTTTGGTTTTCGAGTCAGTCAATATAACCAGCCAGTTTTTTCCCTATTGTGAAATTTGTGCTAGATCAAAAGAGAGGTCAGATGCCAATATCTGATCGTCAAGGGTTTTGGAACTTCACCCGTATATCATCGACATAGATCTTTGCAAATGATATGAGTATATTCTTAGGTAGATCATCAGAAAGAGGTTTGGACCGAAAAGTGACCCCTGCAGGACTCCTGCCAGGAGCTCAGTCATTAACTACCTTCAGGGATCTACTTGTTAGGAAGGCTTTTATAATCGAGAAGAGTCAATGATTGCACAACTAGAGAGCTTGTGTAGAAAACCTTTATGACGCACCTTGTCACATTCGAAATATCTATATCGTCCTCGAGGTGTATTTGTCCTCAAGAGCCTCATTAAGACTGTGTGTAATGACAGGACGTCAACTGTGGATCGGGAGCTAAGATATAACAACCATATGTCGGTGTCAGATGTACATGAGTCGTTCCGCTGGTCTCTATTATGACCTGAAGTGTAGAATGTCGAAGTCATATGCAGAAATTAAGATATGAGTTACTTTAATAACGTCCGAAATTATGATGGCCAAAATACTCAGTCATAACATCACGGCTCAGTCCTAACCGCACGTTTAGTTCCGGTGCGTACTTATCGACAGAGATTTCTAGAATAAATGGATCAGCAACCACCATCAAGAATATCAGCGATAGTCTCTTCAATGACGCCTATACCTTGTCACTCTTAGCAATGTTTGTATCCCCTTACAGTCTCACTATTTCTTCTACTACCATCCCTTTCGACAGGCTCGTTGTTAGTTACATTGTGTTCCCCTATGCTCTTCTGTCTTTAGTACGTCATTTGAACGTTAATTTCACCAAGCACTCTTACTTCATAAATTTTGCCAGAAATTTCACCTTTCTGATTCTAGTTTCCTTTTGTTTCCATTTTCATTAAAACTTCCTCGTTGTTCATATGTTCCGGCTATGGTATTCTTAGCATCCTTCTATATAACCACAATTTTGTTACCACAAGTCTCCACTACATCTGTGAATATTTTCCAGTATTAATTTTCATATAGAAGATTAGATAGTAAATAGCAGTTAAACTCTCTTGTGTTTGTTTCTAAAAAAAATCCTGTCTCATAATAAGTTATTTAGTTTTGGAAGAGATCGCTTGCCATTCCTATATGTTCTCATATTTGTGTGTCCCATTTTCCGTTCTAGTTTAAAAACACTTCCTAGATATTTACATTTCTGTAATTGATTGATTCTGATGTCTCTAATTCATAGGACGAAGCTTGGGCTGTTCTTCTTCTTAACAACCATACATTCTGTTTTCTTACAATTTATTCTTCCTTCTTGTTTTCCTTTAATATCTTGTCTAGATGATCCTGCAGATTTCTTTCTGTTTCTGCCATTAGTGTCATTATAGCAATTTTCAGAAATTGTTTAAGAATCACTATTAATAGTGTGAAAACAGATAAATACCAATAAATTAAGAAGAATTAAAAAAATAATTAGCGTAATTCCCCATGTATAATGCGCTTTCATCTATAATACGTACACCTAAAATTGTACTGAAAGTGTAGGAAAATGCTTCTACTCATGCATAATACGCACCCCTTGTTTGGTAATTAAACTCTATAAATTCTACCTGCCCAATTACATTATGGCCATCGTTTTCTACTCTTATTTAAAAAAAATGAATAATATAATAATGAATAATTAATATAATAATGAATAATATTATTCTAAATTAATTTTATGATAATTCTTATTTTATTATACGGCAATTTTTCCAAGAAAATATTTTTTTCAATTCTTTTTTTTCTATTACTATAGAATTCCAACTAAAGATCGCCAATATCAAAATATGTCTTGCAAACTTTGATTTTGCCATGTAAATTCATTGTAAATGTAAAATTCATTGTAAATCTAAACACGTGATAAAACCTATTTTATATATGAATTTCAAGTAAAAATTTAAAAGAAATGAATATAATTTGATATATATACTTAGCTAACGTGCAAAACTTTAAATACAAATAAATAATTTGAAACGGAATCGAAAAACGAATTTAAAGTATATTCTTACTAAAATATTCTCTTCATTATTATTATTATTATTATTATTATTATTATTATTATTATTATTTCATTTCCTTTGGTTTCCGGTGTATACTCATTTCCCCGTCATGAGAAAATGGAACTAAAGCCTGGCGGTGTGTTCGGTCATAGTATTATGTCTAAAGGCTTAATGTATTCGGAAACTTGATGCACCTACGGACACATTAAAGTCATAAAGCAGACAACAGCCGAAAGAGTTCCTTCGACGCCGCCGTGTTTACTCGCCGCTTCCTGAGCTATGATTGATGCGTGTGCGCAACGGACCTGCATTGGTCAAGAACAATTCCC